GAGCGACAGCAAAGGATCCAGGAGGATCCCCAGGCTATGAACCTGCTCCTTCAGAGGAAACATAACCCCATCAAGAGCAGGCGACCTCCCACCTATCTGGTCTAGGGAACCCCCCACCAACAGAGCCTCAGTCTTATCTGGATTGGACTTCTGTTTCTTGGCTCTCATCCAGTCCACTACCAAGACTGGTCCAGCACTTCCACTGCCTCACCTGCAGATGTCAAGGAGAAATAGAGCTGAGTGTCATCAGCGTACTGCTGACAACGTACTCTGATCCTGCAGATAATCCCACCCAGCGGTTTCATGTAGATGTGTTAAACAACGTGGGGGATAGGATTGAGCCCTGAGGAACCCCACCATGAAGGTTCAACAGGGCTGAAAAGCACTCCCCAAGTAACACCCTCTGGGAACGACCATCCAAGTAGGACTGGAACCACCGCAAAGCGGTGCCACCCATCCCTAGTTCGGAGAGTCTTTCCAGAAGGATGCCATGGTCGATGGTATCAAAAGCCGCTGAGAGGTCGAGAAGAATTAACAGGGACATGTTCCCCTTGTCTCTCTCTTGACAGAGGTCATCATACAGGGCAACCAAAGCAGTTTCTGTGCCAAAACCGGGCCAAAACCCCGATTGAAATGGATTCAGAAAATCAGTTTCTTCCAAAAGCACCTGGATCTGGTCTGTGACCACTCGCTCCAGAACCTTGCCCAGGAAAGGGAGATTAGCAACTGGCCAGCAGTTAGGTTTTCTGAATCCAGGCAAGGTTTCTTAAGGAGTGGTTTTACCACTGCCTCCCCCTCTCATAACTACTTCCCTGGCCCAGCCAGCTGTTCCCTCCCTGCTGGTTTTTATCAGCCAAGAGGGGCAAGGGTCTAGAGAGCAAGTGGTCGCCCTGACTGATCCGAGCACCTTGGCCACATCCTTGAAACTCGGCCACAACTGAAACTCATCCAGCACAACAGGACTAGACTGTGCTCTGGACACCCCATGAGATTCATCTGCTATAACAGCAGAGTCAAGGTCTTGGTGGATGCAAGTGATCTTATCCTCAAAATGCCTTGCAGATGAGTCACAGCGAGCTACTCTTGGTTCTCCCATCTCCTTTGGGCCAGCCTGGAAAAGGCCTGGAAAAGCTCTGCCAGATGACATAATGAGGATGCAATGGAGGCAGCAAAGTAGAATCATAGAGACATAGAATTGTGGAGTTAGAAGGGACCGCAAAGGTCAGGGTGGATTTGATTTAAATCAAATCGATTAAAATCATGATTAAATAACGATTTAAATCACTAGTCACTAAGACTTGATTTAATTTTTTTTTTTACAGAAAGACACATAATTGCTTTTATAATCTTAATATTTACAAACAGATGAAGGTTTAATTTTTGTAATAATAAATTTTCAGAGTAGTTTTTACAGTTATATCAAAAATTACTGATTTGGTTACACTATTAGAAATACATTGACAGATAATTATGAAATTATTGTGAGGTTTAATAAGTTAACTGTTTCTATTTGGACAACTTTTCTGCTGTACTTTATTGGAAGGAGAAAAACAATCATTTCCTTAATAACAATTTAAACAATTTATTTAAATAAAACAATAACTTTATAGCATATGTATCAATGTTTGTTAACTGATGTGGTGAAATGATTTTTTTAAAAAAACACACCTTAGACTGAATTTTAGCACACATGAAAAACTTAAAGCAAATCCTTATTTCCTGATGAGGACTATAATGTAACTTAAATAGAAAACTATCCTTAGAAAGATTTCCCCTCCAAAAGCATTTTATTTTAAAAATCCAATTTAAATTTAAAAATGTGATTTTTTTATTATATATATATTTAAAAATCATTGATTTTTATCCACCCTGCCAAGGGTCATCTAGTCCAACCCCCTGCAGTGCAGAAAACTCAGCTAAAGCATCCCTGACAGATGGCCACCCAACCTCTGCTTAGTCCACCACCTCCCAAGGGAGTGTGTTCCACTGCCTAACAGCTCTTACTGTCAGAAAGTTGTTTAGTCTGATGTTTAGTCTGATGTTTAGTCAGAATCTCCTTTCTTGTAACTTGAAGACATTGGTTTGAGACCTACCCTCCAGAGCAGGAGAAAACAAGCTTGTTCCTCTTTCGTGTGGTAGCCCTTCAGATATTGGAAGATGGCTATCATATCTCCTCTCAGTCTCCTCTTTTCCGGACTAAACATCTCCAGCTCTCTCAACCATTCTTCATAAGGCTTGGTTTTCAGACCTCTGATCATCTTGGCTGCCCTCTGCACATGTTCCGATTTGTCAACATCCTTTTTAAATTGTGGTGCCCAGAATTGGACACAGGACTCCCAGTATTGTCAGACCAATACACAATAGAACAGTACTGTTACTTCCTTTGATCCAGACATTAGACTTCTGTTTTGACTGGCTGAAGATCTTTTGTTGGAAGTTCCCTGTGTTTTCATGCCAGCACATAACAAGAGCCACTTTGACCACCTTCCTGCTTTCCACAGTGGCCGGTCAATTGCCTGCAGGAAGCTCATAATTTTTTTGGGATGCAACAACTTTTTGGTACTGGCTCTCCCAACAGTGGTTCTGTGCTTAACTGGGGCTGGGAGGGGATCCAGATTCAGATACATGCTCAGCCCTGAAGTTTACTGGGGTGACCTTGGGCTGCTCACCATCTCTCAATCTAAGCTGCACTGCAGGGCTGTTGTGGAAGAAGGACCATGTATATTGTCAAGTTCATTGGAGGAAAGGCAGGAAATAAATGAAATAAATCATTTTGCACACAAGTCAAACAGTGAAGCCCTCTTCTCAGCAACCCCCATAAAAAGGGCCCCCAGTGCAGCAGCATATAGGTGTTGGTAAGATGGCTACTGCCTTCAGGCTTAAAGTATACAAGACAGAACACAAAAGGAAATGGGGTTGGGGAGGGAGGAGGGCAGGGGAGAAAAGAAAACTAGAGCGCCGGCTACAGAGAGAGCATTTGAATGACCAGCTGGAATGGAAAGGTTCCATTTAGCCTTCATGTTCACCTGCCAAGACCTTAATGAAAGGTTTCTGTGTTTGCAGGATGCACAGATAACAGGAAAGCTCTGGGAGCTGTGGGTTTTCTTCTTTAAGCCTTAAGCTTTTTAAGCTGCTGGTTGCTTTTAAACAAAGTATTTTCAAGGAACGCCTGGTGCGAATTGTGTGGGATAATCCGCAGCATATAACCAACATACTTAAGTCTAATTAATGCATGAAGGGGTTAATACCATAGAGTAAGCTGTCCTGCCAAGCTCAGCTAAGTCCACTTTCCCTCGCCTTCGGACAGGTGCACCATCTGGGGGGATTGAGGCCCCCCTCGATTTTCAAGGAGGGAGCCGGGGCCCCTCAAAATTTCCCAGTGGCCATGTGCACATGCCACAAGGTGTGGTCACATCACGTGCGCTAGCCACGAGGCATTCTCACAACATGTCAGCATGCCATGCGGCATGCACAAACAGCATACTGACACTGCGTGGCCCCGGCCCCGTCAGTCGTGGGGGCAAGGCAGTGAGCTTGCCTCTGGAGGAACTAGGTAATTAAACCTTTGCTCCCCTTTCAGTCTACCTTCATTCATTCAACTTGTTTTTATTGTTGCTTGTTAGCCGCCCTGAGCCAGCCCTTGGCTGGGGAGGGCGGGGTATGAATAAAAATTATTATTATTATTATTACCTGAGAAGCTCATTGTGTGAAGAGGCTCAGCTGCTTGCTTCAGCTCAGACCACGTGGCTCTCAGAAGCCACTCTTGAGTTCCTATACCAGTACTTTAGGAACTTTCACTGCTCTGTAACTAAGTAAGTTTTACTGCCTGTGCAACTTTTTCCACACATAACTTGCCATGTGTGGTCTTATGTGCTCGGGGAAGAGGAAAACTTTGGAAGGAACTCACAAGGGCATATTTTAAAAGGTCCAACAGCCTATATTTCCACGCTTTCCTTTGCTTTATATTTTGTGAAAGGCTTCTCCACAGAAATTTCAAGACTTGAGAAAGACCTAATACAAACACAAAAAAGTCGCTCTCTAAAATGTACAGATTTCTCCTTGACTGGGAGGTCAAAGAGGAAGAGGTAAAATATGTTAAGGTACAATGGACCAGAGATTTTGGCTACAACATCCAAATGGAATCATGGGAAAGGTTGTGGAGGGAGAAAGAGAATTTCATGAAAATGCTCTACAGATGGTACTTAACACCTGTAAAACTGGCCAAAATGTATAAATCTAGGTCAAACATCTGCTGGAGGCACCCACATGTGGTGGAACTGCAAAAAAAAAGAGGAATTTTGGGGAACTATATATAACTAACTTTTAAAAATGTTTAAATGTTCCTTTCCTAAGAAGCCTGAAGCCTTCCTGTTAGCTATAATGAGCAATGAAATTCCAAAAAGGGTAAGGAAAAAAAATATTTTTGCAGTAGCAGCAGCAAGAATTCTGGTTGCTAAGGTATGGAAAGGAGATTCTACTCCCTCAAAATTAGATTGGCATAATAAAATGTTAGAATATGCAGAGCTAGCAAGATTCCGAGACCATACCGATCAAATATTTAATAAAGAGTGGAATATTTACAGAGAATATCTACAAGAAATCTGTAATAATAAGTGTAATAATCTAAATTATTTCGCAGGCCTGAATTGACTTCTGCATGAAATAAGAGAATTTTACAAAATTAACACAACTGAACAACCTATGAGAGATAAAGTTAAGTGTGCAGTTGTAATGTAATTTAGGAATCACAATGGGGGGACTGGAAGTCATGTCGGAATTTGTGATGTGTGAATTCAATCTTTTCTTTTTTTGTAATGAGTGTTGATTTTGGATTGCCTTTTGTTGATCATTGCGTTTTGTTTTGTTTTGTTTTGTTTTTAAAACTAACAACACATTTTTTAAAAAAATTGTTGTAGCTTGCCCTGGGACCTCAGCATGAAGGACCGTGATGATGATTTTAATTAACGGTGTCTTTTTCTTTTCTCTTCTCTCCGGAACAGGCAACCAAGCAATTCCTTGAAGAGATTAACAAGTGGACAGTCCAATACAATGTGTCTCCCCTTTCTTGGAATGTGGCAGTCAAATTCCTCATGGCCAGGAAATTCGATGTCCTGCGAGCGATTGAGCTCTTCCATTCCTACAGGGTAAGGGGATCAATTCCTCCCCAGAAATGGAGGGAGAGAGCTGGAGAGACCTCATGGCTCACAAGGAGACCCTTCCAGGAGCCCAAAGGGACTTCAGGGAGGGCGGAGGAGAGGGCTTTGTGGAGGCTGCTCAGCCTCCCTGCCTAACAGCTGATGTGAAGGGTTGCCTGGCAGCTGCCACTTTTCACGTCCCAGAGCTTCAGTTCCAATTGCGGTTATTTTGGGTACAATATTTTTAATCTGGCTTGCAGAGAGAGTGCATTTAAAGCAGGGGTAGTCAACCTGAGGCCCGTGGGCCAGATGTGGCCCAGTCGCCTTCTCAATCCGGCCTGCGAACAGTCCAGGAATCAGCGTGTTTTTACATGAGTAGAACGTGTCCTTTTATTTAAAATGCATCTCTGGGTTATTTGTGGGGCATAGGAATTCGTTCATATCCACCCCCCAAAAAATATAGTCTGGCCCCCCACATGGTCTGAGGGATGGTGGACCGGCCCCCTGCTGAAAAAGGTTGCTGACCCCTGATTTAAAGGGTATCTAGAGGGTGCTTCCACTTACGTGATTTTCACTTATGTGCCAGAACATGTGGGGAGTTGCCTGTACTAAAAAAGATTAAAATTTCTATCAGCATTTCAAAGCATCTGGGGAGGCCTGTCTAAACAAAAATGTTTTCAGCAGGTGCTGCTGGACTCCAGCTCCACTCAGCCCCACCCAGAGGGCTACTGGTCTGAGCGGACGAAGGATCCCCACCTTGGTTGCAGACAATAACAGAGTGTTTTCTTTCCTCCTAGGAAACCAGGCTGAAGGAAGGGATCGTGAAGCTGAAGCCTCATGAGGAACCTCTCCGCTCAGAGCTGCTTAGTGGAAAGTTCACCATCCTGGTGAGTAAGGTGCTTTGCTTGGGCAGACAGAGCTGTGGATAACTGTGGAAGTTGGGCTTCCTGTTTGCGGAGGCAGGGGACACATGTCTCCATAGTGTGGTTTTAGCTCATAGAATCATAAAATTGTAGAGTTGGAAGGGACCCCAAGGGTCATCTAGTCCAACCCCCTGCAATGCAGGAATTACAGCTGAAGCATCCATGACAGATGGCCATCCAACCTCTGCTTGAAAAACTCAAAGGAAGGAGAGTCCACCACCTCCCAAGAGTGTCCATCCTACTGTTGAACAGCTCTTACCATCAGAAAGTTCTTCCTGATGTTGAGTCAGAATCTCCTTTCTTGTAACTTGAAGCCATGGATTCGAGTCCTACCCTCCAGAGCAGGAGAAAACAAGCTTGTTCCATCTTCCGCATGACAGCCCTTAAGATATTTGAAGATGGTTATCATATCTCCTCTTAGTCTCCTCTTTTCCAGGCTAAACATACCCAGCTCCTTCAACTGCTCCTCATAAGGCTTCGTCTCCAGACCCTTCATCATCTTGGTTGCCCTCCTTTGCACACCTTCCAGCTTGTCAACACCCTTCTTAAATTGTGGTGCCCAGAAATGGACATAGTATGTATTCCAAGTGTGGTCTGAGTAAGGCAGAATAGAGCAAGAATTTGACTTCCCTTGATCTGAACACTAGACTTCCTTCTGTTGATTCAGAATAGCATTAACTTGTTTGCTGCTGCATCACACTGTTGACTTATATTAAGCTTGTGGTCCACCAAGACCCCTAGATGCATTTCACATGTACTACTAGTAAACCAGGTGTCCCCCATCCTATATTTGCGCATCTGGTTCTTCATGCCTAAGTGCAGAACCTTACATTTCTCCCTGTTGAAATTCATTTTGTTAGCTTGTGCTCAGTTCTCCAATCTGTTAAGGTCATCTTGATTCCTGATTCTGTCTTTTGTGGCATCAGCTACCCTTCCCAGATTGGTGTCTTCTGCAAATCTGATGAGCATCCCTTCAATTCCTTCGTCCAAGTCATTTATAAACACATTGAACAACAATGAGCCTGGGACACAATACTGTGGTACCCCACTTGTCACTTTTTTCCAGGATGATGAAGAACCATTAATGAGTACTCTTTTACTCTTTGGGTTTGGTCAGTCAACAAGTCACAAATCTACCTAACTGTTATCTTGTTCAACCCACATTTTACCAGCTCCCTTGCAAGATTATCATGGGGACTTTGTCAAAAACGTTACTGAAGTCAAGTTACACTATGTCCACCAAATTCCCCTGATCCACCAAGCTTGTAACTCCATCAAAAAAAGAAATGAGATTTGTTTAGCATGACTTGCTTCTGAGGAACCCATGTTGTGTTTTAGTAATCACAGCATCCACAAATGTGGGAGGGCAGATTGTTTATAACAGTGCTTCTTATTAAACTTGGGTCCTTAGCTGTTGTTGAACTACAACTCCCATCATTCCTAGCTAGCTGAGGATCCAAGTTTGAGAAACACTGGGAGCCTGCTGAGTCACCCAGTGGCCCATCTAGTCCAGCATCCTGTTCCCACAGTGGCCAACTGGGTGCCAGTTATGAGAAGCCCACAAGCAGGATCCAAGCGCAGGAGCCCTCTCCCTTCTTGTAGTTTCCAATAACTGCTCTTCAGAAGTGCTGCTGTCTCCAACTGTGGAGGCAGAGCAGAGCCATCCTGGCTGGTAGCCCTTGATAGCCTCCTCCTCCTCCTCCTCCTCCTCCTCCATGAATTGGTCCAATCTTAGCTGATGGCTATCCCTGCTTCTGGAGGGAGGGAGTTCCATCCTTGAACTCTACATTGTGTGAAGAAGGACTTCCTTTTATCTGTCTGGAGTTTCACTCTGCTTTCCCCGCATCGCATCCTATTCGTGAATCAACAGCGTCATAATTACTTTGGCCCTCAGAGCTGCTTGTTTGTTTTATTAGGTTTATCTCCTTTGTTTTCCTCCAAGGAGGTTCAGGCTCTGTAGATCACTTCTGCCTGTCGACATTTTTTATCCTTGCAGCAACCCTGTGAGGTAGGCTGGCAACCCCTGCTTTGCCTCAATGTTCCATGCCATCAGGTAGAAAACATGCGCAATCTCATCTGATCCGAAAGCTAAGCAAGGTCAGGCCTGTTTAGTACCTGGATGGGACCCCCCTGCGAACACCAGGTGCCACGGGCTTCTGCTGGGATAGCTCAGTTGGTAGAGCATGAGACTCTTTAATCTCAGCCACGGGTTCCAGCCCCATGTTGGGCATTGCAGGGGGTGGACTAGATGACCCTCATGGTTCCTTCCCACTCTATAGTTCTAGGATTCTAGGATTTGGTCATGCAACAGCCAGAATTCCAAAGTGGCTTTGAACGGATTTTGACTTTTTATGCCTCTGCAGAGACTGACCTCTTCTGCTTCATTGCTGATCTTTTGTCTCTGGCATTTTTGCAGAGCGTACGAGATCCCACTGGAGCATCGATTGCCCTCTTCACTGCCAAGTTGCACCATCCCAACAAAAGCATCCAACATGTGGTCCTCCAAGCGCTCTTCTACTTGCTGGACAGAGCTGTGGAGAGGTGAGTAGAAGACTTTCCATCCCTGTGGGGTTTGCTTCTTTCAGATGACCGCACTTCAATAATGTGTGTTTTTTCCCCTTTGGCATCCTGTCTGCAGCTTTTTTGCAGCGTTGCCTTCTCATCTGACCCAGAATGAGATCCATATAAGAATACAAGCAAAGCCTTGTGGATCTGGCCAGTGGCCCATCTAGTCCAGCGTCCTGTTCTCACAGGGGCCAAACAGATGCCCCTGGGAAACCTGTAAAGAGGACCTGAGTACAAGAGTCCTCTCCCTTCCTTCGGCTTCCAGCAACGGGTCTTCAGAAGAGCTTACTGCCTTCAGTTGTGGAGGCAGAGCAGAGCCCTCAGGGCTAGTAACCACAGAGAGTCCTCTCCTCCATGAAGCTGTCTAATCCTTGGTGGCCATCACTGCCCCCTGCAGGAGGGAGTTCCATAGTTCAGCTCTGTGCTGTGTGAAGAAGGACTTTCTTCTATCTGCCCTGAATCTCCCAACATTCAGCTGGAAGCCCACAAATTTCAGTGTTATAAGAGAGAGAGAGAAAAACTTTTTTTTTTTAATAAAATATTTATTGAAAGTTTTAAACATTATAATCACCCAGCACATATAGACCCATCACCAAGATACAGTAAACAAAGAAAAACTAAAAAAGAAAAAGTTAACACATAATACAAAAAATATAACCATATTTTCTTCACTTTTTGCACTTCCTCACATCTCTCGTTCCTGCGTTCCTAGTTTGTAAAATTTTAAACAGCAAATTATCACCTTGTTTCAGTTCTGATTTTATATTCTTCCAATATTCTGTCTCTAATTTTGAATACTTTTATCAAAAACTTAAATACTTAATTTAGACGTAACATTACTCCAAAATTTATCTTCTTCTCTAATCTCACCTATTCTCATATTCCTTTCAGCTAGTTTGCTGGTGCCATGTTATTTTCAATCTTGCATCCTTCCTAGCACTCATACAATTTACAGTGTTTTTGTAAATAGTCCTTAAATTTCTTCCAATCCTCTTCCACTGCTTCTTCTCCCAGGTCTCGGATTCTGCCAGTCATTTCTGCTAGTTCCATGTAGTCTATCAGTTGCATCTGCCATTCTTCCAGCGTGGGCAAATCTTGGGTTTCCCGGTGTTTAGCGATAAGTATCCTTGCTGCAGTTGTTGCATACATAAAAAATGTTCGGTCCTTCTTTAACACCCTCTGGCCAACAATGCCCAAAAGGAGGGCCTCTGGTTTCTTAGGAAAGGTATATTTAAATACCTTTTTCAGCTCGTTATATATCATTTCCCAGAAAGCCTTAACCCTAGGGCAGGTCCACCAGAGGTGAAAGAACGTTCCTTCAGTTTCTTTACATTTCCAACATTTATTGTCAGGCAAGTGATATATTTTTGCAAGCTTGACTGGGGTCATGTACCACCTATATATCATTTTCATAATATTTTCTTTTAGGGCATTACATGCCGTGAACTTCACACCGGTGGTCCATAACCTTTCCCAGTCAGCAAACATAATATTGTACCCAATGTCCTATGCCCATTTTACCATAGCTGATTTACCCGTTTCATCCTGTGTGTTCCATTTTAACAGCAAGTTATACATTTTGGAAAGTACCTTGGTCTTAGGTTCTAACAGTTCTGTTTCTAACTTCGATTTTTCCACCTGGAATCCTATCTTTTTATCCAAATTAAAAACCTCTTTAATCTGAGCGTAATGTAGCCAATCTCGCACTTTGTCTTTTAATTTCTCCAAACTCTGCAACCTCCAAGTATCTCCATCCTTTTCTAATATTTCCCAATATTTCGGCCATTTGGCCTCCATATTGAGTCTTTTCTGGGCCTTGGCTTCCATTGGTGACAGCCACCTTGGGGTCTTGTTTTCTAATAAGTCTTTATATTTTGTCCAGACATTAAACAATGCTTTCCTGACAATATGGTTCTTGAAAGCCTTATGACTTTTAACCCTGTCATACCACAAATATGCATGCCATCCAAAAACATTATTAAATCCTTCCAGGTCTAAAACATCAGTGTTTTCAAGAAGTAGCCAGTCCTTCAACCCGCAGAAAGCTGCTGATTCATAGTACACCCTTAAGTCCGGCAGGGCAAACCCCCCTCTTTCTTTAGCATCAGTTAATATTTTAAACTTAATTCTAGGCTTTTTGCCCTGCCAGACAAATTTAGAGATATCTCTCTGCCACCTCCTGAAACACTCCACTTTATCCACAATCTGTAAAGTCTGAAATAGAAACAGCATTTTTGGCAATACATTCATCTTTATAGCAGCAATTCGGCCCAACAAGGAAAGTTTCAATCTAGACCAACCTTCTAAATCCCTTTTAATTTCTGACCAGCACTTTTCATAGTTGTCCTTAAATAGATTCAAGTTCTTGGCTGTTATGTTTACCCCTAGGTATCTCACTTTTTAAACCACATTTAAGTCTGTCTCTTTCTGAAACCTTTCTGATTCTGAAGATGTCAAATTTTTTTCCAATACCTTGGTCTTTTGCTTGTTTAATTTAAATCCTGCCACCCGACCAAACTCATGAATCAATTGTAATGCCCTTTTCGTACTAGATTCTGGCTCCTGTAATGTCAAAACCAGGTCATCTGCAAAAGCTTTAAGTTTGTACTGTTTGGCTCCGACCTGAATTCCTTCAACCAACCGGTCCCCTCTAATCATATTCAAGAGCACCTCCAGGACCAAAATGAACAACAAAGGGGAGATAGGGCAACCTTGTCGTGTTCCTTTTTCAATTTTAAACTCTTCCGTCACCACATTGTTAACTATCAATTTAGCCTTTTGTTCTGAATAAATTGCATCTATACCATTTTCAAACCCCCGTCCCACTCCCATCCCTTCCAGATTTTTCTTCATAAACCTCCATGAAATGTTGTCAAAGGCCTTCTCCGCATCTATAAATATTAACACTGCTTTTGTATTAATATTTGTTTGCAGAAGTTCCAAAATGTCAATAATATTCCTTGTGTTAGCATACAAATGTCTACCTGGGAGAAAGCCTGCCTGATCCTTGTGAATCACTTCATTCAAAACTTTTTTAAATCTACTTGCTAAAATATCTGCAAAAATTTTGTAATCCACATTTAGGAGGGAGATGGGACGGTAGTTCTTGAGCTGTGTCTTTTCAGTTTCTGATTTGGGTATCAATGTGATGAAAGCTTCCTTCCACGATTCCGGTGCTCTCTTCCCCTCCATAATTTCATTGCAGACCTCCAATAACGGATGTATCAAATAGTCTTTCAATGACTTGTAATATTTGGAGGTAAGCCCAGAGAAAAACGTTCCTCCATCCCTTTCTCCTTGCAATGCATAATTTTATAAACTTCTGTCATGAAGAAGAGTGCATGTTAATTCTGGATAACTTCAGTCAAATAGTTAAGCACATCCTTTTTCCTGTTAAATTAAAATACTTAACATTGACTGGTTTATGATCTCAAGGATCACAAGGACCAAAAGCCCATCTTGTCCTGTCTCTCATGGTGGCCAACAAGATGCTTCTTGCGAAGGCCACAAGCAGGACATGATTCATCAGCAATCTCTCCCTGTTACTTTCCTCCAAAGGGTGTTCAGTCATCTGCTGCCTCTGATCCTGGAGGTTCAATGTAGTAATCATGACTTAATGGCCAATGACAGACCTCTCCTCCTTCATGGATTGGTCTTACCTCCTTTTAAAGCCTTCTGAGTTGGTTGCCCTCACCTTAACCTCTGGCAATGAAGATTCCTATCAATTAATCCTGGGCTGTTTGCAGAAATACTTCCTTTTCTCTCTGCCAAACATGGGAGGACCCTGAGCTCTCATGGAATGAGAGTGGGAGAACATCTCCCTATTCACCAGGTGTCATTTTAGAAACCTATAAGCAGCATCCTAAACATCTCAGGTTCTGCTGATTTTTCCATTTCTGTCCTCATTCCTATACAATGGATATGCTGTTGGGCTGTAACCAAAGTCCTAATTTGTGCACACTTTCTCTTTTCTACCCCCTGCCAGCTTCGAAACTCAGCGAAATGGCCTGGTATTTATATATGACATGGCAGGCTCCCACTATACCAACTTTGAGCTGGATCTCAGCAAGAAAATCCTGAACCTTCTGAAGGTAAAAGGAAGGGCCATTGGTGTTGGGGGGGGCAACCTCTGTTTCTGCCAAGGGCTGCACTCCTGTGGGGTTGATCCGTACCAGCGGCTGCGTGCTGGCTATGGGCAGGGATGAAACCAGTGGTGGACTGGGTCACCACCCCAGTAGGCAGGACCCCCTTTTCTCTCTCTCTCTGTCCTGCCCCCCTTCTCTTTCTGTCACCCCCCTTTCCCCTCTCTCATTCTCGCTGGCTCCCTGCCCAGAAGCCTTAAGCAATTGCTTGTCAAGGGCTGTGGGAAGGAGGCCAAGGCCTGTCGGCTACAGAGACCTGGATGGATCCTGGAGTCGCTTGGAGTTCTGTCCTCCCTCTCATTGCAGAGGTTCCCCTTGGTTTGGCTAACATTATGGCATGAGGGGAGGCATCAGGAATGGGGCATTTTACGGAGTAAATAAATGGGGTAGCCGTCAAGGTGGCTCTTGGCTCGGAAAGATGGCAAAGTAGCCACAAGGATTGTGTCTTCCTCAGTGTGCTGGTCCCGATCCCAGGCCATCACACTCAGCCTGTGATGTCCCTCCAGACGTTGTTGCACTACAAGTCCCATCAGCCTTTGCAGTGGTCATGCTGGATGTGGCTGATGGGAGCTGTGGTCCAACAGCAACTGGAGGCCACCCGGATGGGCCGGACTGACCTTGTCTCTGGCCTCCCCCTTGCTGACCTTGGGGAAGCAGCTGGAGGAAGGCTGTGATGCTGCTCTTAAAGGCTTAAAGGGTGATGGGCCTGGGAGTAGGGTGGTCCTTCTGTCAGCAGCCAGCATGTCTAGTGGTTAGACCATTGGATAAAGACCTGGGAGACCAGGGTTCAAATACCTGCTCGATCAGAGAGCTCCCTGGGTGACCTTGGGGCAGTCGCAGCCTCACAGCCTAACCTACCTCACAGGGTTGTTGGGAGGGGCAGGGAACCTGGTGTGCCACCATCAGTTCTTTAGAGTAAAGGTGGGCTATAAATGTGGATAATGGTGGCAGGAAGAGCCATAATAGTAGCAGCCAGGAGGCATAGCTGTCAACTTACAGATTTGAAAATAAGGGACCAGCAGCCTCAAAAATATCCTTCCTATTGGAAATCCTTCCTATTGGACCAGCACTTTGAGGTGTTGGCTGAAATGTTATATGGCTGTCTCCAACTAAGTTCTTCTCAGGGTAGACCGATTGCAGTTAAGGAGACTAAGTTGTGCCCATTAATTTCAGTGGGCTTACTCTCAAGTCAGACTAGAGTGAGTTATAGTCCTGCATGTTTCCGAGCACAATTCAAAGTGCTGGTGTTGACCTTTAAAGCCCTAAACGGCCTCGGCCCAGTATACCTGAAGGAGCGTCTCCACCCCCATCGTTCTGCCCGGACGCTGAGGTCCAGCGCCGAGGGCCTTCTGGCGGTTCCCTCATTGCGAGAAGCAAAGCTACAGGGAACCAGGCAGAGGGCCTTCTCGGTAGTGGCGCCCACCCTGTGGAACGCCCTCCCATCAGATGTCAAAGCGATAAATAACTACCTGACATTCAGAAGACATCTTAAGGCAGCCCTGTTCAGGGAAGTTTTTAATCTGTGATATTTTACTGTATCTTTGGTTTTTATGGAAGCCGCCCAGAGTGGCTGGGGAAACCCAGCCAGATGGGCGGGGTACAAATAATAATAATAATAATAATAATTAGGCTGAGTGAGCCTTCGACACTTCAGGCAGCAGCTGCTGGAGGGGAGCAGCTGAGCCCCCGGCAATCCATCTCCTTGGGAAGACAGAGTCGTATGGTGGTGTGGCTTGTTGGCCCCCTCCCCTCGGTAAAGCGGCCTGCTCCCCTCAGGTGTGCTAGAGGATACACCTGAGGTAAGTTTCAGATTCTGCACATGGCAGGCAGATTTGATTTGGTCCTTTGCCTGAGGCAGCCAGATGTCTTGGGCTGACTCTGGAAAAAACCATAAACAATTGGCCTCTGCCTCATAAGAAGCACCTGCTGGATCAGGTCCCTGTGGCCCATCCAGTGGCCAGCCAGATGCCTCTCTGGGGGAAGTCCGCAAGCAGGGCTGGAGCGCAAGATCACAATTCTGTCCCCTTGTGATGCTCAGCAGCTGGTCCTCACAGGCATCGCTTTCTCTGTCTATAGGTCAGGCAGGGCAGAGCTGTTGGGCCATAGCCATCAATAGGCTTCTCCAGAAACCTCGTGTGTGCGTCAAGTGGCTCCCTGTCATGGATAATGCTGACAGCGATTCAGAAACATAAATTTCCTCCTCCAAACTGTTCTTCCCTGCCTCTTCTCAGGGAGCCTTCCCAGCCCGTCTCAAGAAGGTATTCATTGTGGGTGCTCCTATGTGGTTCCGAGTTCCATACTCCATCATCAGCCTGCTGCTTAAAGAGAAACTCCGGGAAAGGGTGAGTTCACCATCTCCATCGTGCTCCTCCTCCTCCTTCCTACTGCTACTGTTGTTACCATTACTGTTGTTATTAGTTATTGTCCACCCTTTCTCCTAAGCTCCTAGGGCAAGTTGCAACAATCAAAACACAGTATTAAAAACAGTTTAAAACAACTTGCAATAGCTGAAATAAGGTGGGATCCAAAAATATGCACCTCAAGTGTCACAAGCCAAGATAAAGAGGTGCATCTTCAGTGTTCGTCAGAAGCTACCGTATTTTTCGCTCCATAAGACGCACCTAGTTTTTAAAGTGGGAAAGCAAGGAAAAAATATATTCTGCGCAGAGCATGTAAGCGGCTCTCGCTTTTCTTGCTTTAAACCCTTCCGTCCCTCCTCCCGCTTTGCTGAGAAGCCAGCAGAGCAAGAGCAATAGCTGTGCAGCGCCTCTTCTTCTGCTGGCTTCCCAGCAAAGCGGGATGAGGGACGAAAGGGAGCCCTTACAAGGAAGCGCTGAGCAGAGCCTGGCAGCGGCTCTTGCTGGCTTTTCCGGGAGGTGTGGGAAAGGACAGAGGACAGCCTGTCGGTCCCTTCTCCCTCCTCAGGGAAAAGCCCCCAAGAGCCGCACTCCCTTTAAAGAGCCACGCGGAGTGTGTGTGTGGATCTTGGGGGCTTTTAAACAAACGCTCCACGCGGCTCTTTAAAGGGAGCACTGAGCAGAGCCTCCTGCCTGCATTCGCTCCATAAGACACACACACATTTCCCCTTACTTTTTAGGAGGGAAAAGTTTGTCTTATGGAGCGAAAAATGCGGTATGTAATGAAGGTGCCAGGTGCACCTCTGTGGGAAGGGTCTCCCACAACTTAGGGGCCACCTCAGAGAAGGCTCTCTCCCAGTCTCCCCTCCCCACCGTGCCTGTGAGGATGAGGAAACAACTAGAAGGGCCCCCTCTGTCAATCTCAGCACCTTGTAGGAGGTCTTGTGGGGGGAGGCAGTTTTCAGGTATGCAGGGGGGCAGGGGGGCTGAGTAATTTATGGCTTTAAACACCCACCTGAGCACCTTGAATTGGGCCTGGAAACAAACTGGCAAGCAATGCCATCACCTGACTGCTGCATTTTGTTGTTGTTTAGTTGTGTCCAACTCGCCTTCCAGGGCAGCCCCACGCAGAGTGCAGCGGAGGGTTCATGTTTTGCTGTGCCTCCCTTTCCACCTGCCCCCTCTCTTGTAGGTCCAGATGGTGAAGATGTCTGAGCTGAAGGAGCACCTGCCCCAAGAGTGTCTCCCCGAGTACCTGGGCGGATCCCTCAAACTAGATCCCCTCAGCTGGAACTGCAGGTTCCTCCCACAGCAGAACGGCCACCCGGACCCCCTTGATGAGCTGATTCTGGTGCCACTGGCATCCCCCCGGGACAACGGCTCGGTGCACACGCCGGGGCCAAAGGCCATGACGGTGCAGGAGGTGCTGGAGCACGTCACCCAGAAGCAGAAGCGGGGCATCTATGAGGAGTACGAAGGCATCCGGCGCAGGAGCCCGGCAGGAACATTTGCCTGCTCCTTGTAAGGGTTCAAGTGTGGCACTGGGGGCAAGAGGTGTGGCAGAAGGGGGAGGGTGATTGCTCCTGGCGCCCCTTGCCAGGGGAGCACCCATAGGATTCCGCAGTCTTGGGAAGAGAAACTCCCCTTTCCTCGCCCCACCCAATGTCCAGTTTCATCCAATTTCTGCAACATTTCTTAGGTCTTCACTTGTAGCCTTGTTTGTGGCCTGCAGAGCACCAGGTGGTTGGCTCAGAGAACAATCAAACCAGCTCTTGACTGTGGTCAGTATCAGGGTGTATCCTGTCATTTTTCAGGTACAGTGGGGAAATTTATCCCATGCGGCAATGTTCACAGGAATTAAGCTCTCCAAGAGATCCATATTGAAGAACATAAGAGGAGCCTGTCGGTTCAGCTCCACGGCCCATCACGTCCAGCCTCCTGTTCTCACAGTGTCTAGCCAGATGCCTCTCTGGGGGAAACCCACAAGCAGGATTTGAGCCCAAGAGCAGCCCTCCCCTCCTGTGGTCTTCAGCAACTGCCATTGAGAAGCCTTGCGGAGGTGGGGCAGAGCCACTGTGGCCCCCAATAGCCTCTCCTCCAAGGATTTGTCAAATCCTCTTTTAAAGCTGCCTAGACAGACGGCCTCCACTGCCTCTTGCCTGAGGAAGGACTTCCCTTTTATCCGTCCTAAATCTTCCAACACTCAGCTTCCTTGTATGTCCCTGAGTTTGTGTGTGTGTGTGTGTGTCTTCTTTAATCCAGAGGCCCCACAAGGCCAGGTTCCCCATCTCCTTGTGTTGCACTCACTGTGCCTGCTCTTGCTTGCCACAGGTCTCCCTTCAACCAGGAGAAGAACAGATATGGGGATGTGCCGTGCCTTGACCAAACGAGGGTGAAGCTGTCCAAGCAATTCAGCTATCCAGAGGTAAGCTGGCTGAGAGTTTTGGCTCTGCAAATCTGCCTTGTATTGAATCGGACTGTCGGTCTAGCTCAGCCTTCCACAATCTGGTTCCCTCTGGTATTTATTGGCTATATTTATTGATCACTCTTTTCCCCCCAAGGGTAACTCAAACTAACTTACAAAATCTAAATGAATAAAACGCACAATAGTAAAGGTCAATCCTGATTTTAAAACATAGAATTCAAATGGCCTACAAAGTAAAGGAGGCCAGAGATTATTAAAGAGCCAAAGACCTGGAGAAAAAGCTGACCCAGGGAGAGCATTCCACAAGCAGGGAGCCACCACTGAAAAAGCCTATTCTTGGGGTGCCAGCCTCCCGCCAAGGGGGCGGGTGAAGAAGGGCCTTGCATAATGATCCCAAGGTCTGGGCCAGTTCATAGGGGGAGAATCAGTCTTGGAGGTATTGGGTTCATGAGCAGCAGAAGGCTCCATAGGTCAAAACCAGCACTCTGAATTGGGAGCCAGTGCAGTCAGGCTTGGGTTGAAGGAGTGTCTCCACCCCCATCGTTCACTGAGGTCCAGCTCCGAGGGCCTTCTGGCGGTTCCCTCACTGGGAGAAACCAAGTTGCAAGGGGCCTTCTCGGTAGTGGCACCCGCCCTGTGGAACACCCTCCCATCAGATGTCAAAGATATAAACAACTACCAGATTTTTAGAACACATCTGAAGGTAGCCCTGTTTAGGGAAGCTTTTAATGTTTGATGGACTACTAATAAAAGTTTAATATTTTGTTGGAAGCTGCCCAGAGTGGCTGAAGAAACCCAGCCAGATCTGTGAGGTATTAATAATAATAATAATAATAATAATAATAATAATAATAATAATAATAGTTGTTGTTGTTGTTGTTGTTGTTGTTGTTGTTGTTGTATTTTGTGCTCCAGTGAGCAGCCTGGCCCCCAATTTTTGCACCAACTGCAGTTTCCAAGCCACCTTCAAAGGTAGCCCCACACAGAACACATTTCAATAAGGCAGGGTGCTGGGCTACAACTCCCATCATGCTTCCTAAGTGGTCCTGCTGGCTAGGGCTGATGGGAGCTGGAACCAAAGATCATCTGGGGGGCACCAAGTTTGGGAGAGTGCTATTGTTTGCACTGACTCAGAGCAGAGAGGTCAGTTTCTTCATGCAGAAAGTTTGAAAAATGCATATCATTATTCAAAGTAAATGCAAGCCAGAAATTGGGGTTCTTGTGCCATGCTTCCCACCCACAAAAACCCTCCCACAAATTCTGTGCTTGCAACCAATGTGAGCAGATGACATTTGCGGAAATGGCACCCCTGTTTTTTGAAGACATTTCTCTTCCACGTTTGTGTTGTCCAAGGAATTCTGGACAGCTTACTTAGTGTTTGGTTCCACCGCCATTAAACTCTGTCAGGATGGTGAAGCAGATGAACAGCAATGAGCCCAAGATTGCCTTGTGAGCTTTGTGACTGAGTGGGGAATTCAGCCAGGTCTCACCGCTCTTATGTTCATCTACATGAGTTCTGCATTTCCAGGCAACCCTCCAGAAGCAGTATGCAGAGTCAGGAAGAAGCTAATGGGGAAGGGCTGTCATTCAGAGAGATGATATTGTGCTACACCAACAACAGCTTAGGGCAAGGGCTCAGAGCTTAGTGGTAGAGCAGCTGCTTTGCATGCAAAAGGTCCCAGGTTCAATCCCCAGCATCTCCAGATAGAAGAACCATCAGGTGAGACGAAAGATGTTCTCTTCCTCAACAGCCACTGCCAGTCTGAGTCAAGTGTACTTGGTTACAGGGCCAACCAGGTTCTGCCTGAAAGAAGGCAGCTTTTTAATCCAGTTCATGTATTCATAGACAACAGACTGCCTCGAACCAAGCAGCTCCACTAGCAAAAGCATTTTAGATGGTGCAACAAAACTCGTCCTCCCTCTCCTTTCCCTGGGTACCCCCTAAATCGCTGCGGGTTTCCCTCCAACCCTCCCTCTGGAGCATTTCTCCTTCCTGCGTAGAATTGGGCCCAATTTAGCCTTTGTCATGCAGTGGTGCAGGAGGAAAGCCATGGGCTGTTGCCCCCCCTTTTTCTCCCCTGCACATACTCATGCGCCCCCCAAGGGTGTTATGGTGTGCCTCTGCTTGGGTGTCACTGCTTTGGCCTGTCTGTCAGGGTGACCTTTCCTGTTGCGTCTCTCCAGCTGACAGATTACATCAACGCCAGTTTCATGGATGGCTACAAGCAGAGGAATGCATACATTGGCACCCAAGGTAGGGAGGCCCTGGGCACATCGGTGTTTGGGGTGGTGATCTGGCCAGGGGAGCAGGGTGGGTGGGTGGGCAGCCACTGCATTCCTGCAGAGACCGTGTTGCAGAGGAAGCAGTGGTGGCACTTTCCATCACAAGCTGAGATTCAAATTAGAAGAGCCTGGCTGGATCAGACGAAAGTCCCGCCTAATCCAGTGTCCTGCTTCTCATGGTGGCCGACCAGATGCCCCTTGGAAGCTCAGGAGCAGGACTGGAGTGTGACATCACTCTCCTGGCTGGTGAGTCCCAGGAACCGGGACGCAGAGGCCTGCTCCTTTTGACCATGGAGGCAGCAGAAGGCTTTGCAGACAGGAGCCGCTGATTGCTGTTCTCTTCCATGAATCTGTCTGATCGCCTTTAAAAACCACCCAAGTTGGGGGCCATCACTGCCTCTTGTGAGAGCGAATTCCTTTTTATTATTAATTTTATTTATAGAATTTTTGAAGAGATAAACAATAATCCAACATCATTTCATGGAATTCCATGGTTTGGCACTGTGCTTCCATCGTTCAGCTTCATTGGCTGCTTCCAAGTTCTAACATTAGGATAAATAAACTATTTTTCTGCATAACCTTATGCACCTGCCATTGTATACCTTGCTCAGAATTTTTCCTGAACTAAAATGTCCCAGATGTAATCTTTCTTCTCAAAGGGATTTCTCCATTCTCCTTGATCTTTTTGGCGGCCCTTTGCTGAACCTTTTCCATCCCTACAATATCCCTTCTGAGGTGAGGCCTCTCTGCACCTTCCTAGGGTGCCTTTCCAGTGAGTTCTGCCCCCCACTCCAAGGTGTTCAGAGATTTGCTGTGTACAGTTCTGGTCACGCCACCTAAAAATGGATATTGTGGAGTTTGGAGACATGCAGAAGAGGGCAAGTGAAAGGATCATGAGATGGAGTGACTCCACCAGGGGGAAAGCTGGCAGCATTTGGGACTTCTTAGTTTAGAAGAAAAGCCAGTAAGAGGTGTTGCGAGAGAAGCTTATAAAATGAGGCATGGCATAGAGAAAGTGAATAGAGAATTTCCCCCCTCTCCTCTCTCGTAACACTCATAGACAACCAAGGAATCTGAATGTTAGAAAATTAAGGACAGGTAAAAGAAAGTCCTTCTTCATACAGTGCATAGGTAACCTGTGGGACCTTACTGCTGCAGAAGGCAGTGATGACCCCCCTCGGCAGCTGGCTTCAAAAGGGGGTTGGACAAATTCATGGAAGAGGTGCTCTGCTCTGCTGCCCTGGCCAGAGGGAATAATGGGCTCTTGTGCTCCAATCCTGCTTGCAGGTTTCCCAGAGGATTCTGGGAGAACAGGGTGCTGGGTTAGATGGGCCCTGGAGCTGATCCAGCACTGCCTCGTGTGCTTGGGATCCCCACTAACTGGTATTCCAGGACAGGCAGCACTACCCAGCCCACCACTCCCCGTCCAGCTCCTTAATGGAGCTAGCTGTGCCCCCAGCATCTCAATGCAGAGATAGGGAACATGTGGCCCTCCAGATGTGGTTGAACTTCCTGTTGCATATTTAGCAGATTAATTGCACTGCAGAAAGTGTGCTGGGGAGACCACATGTTCAGGAAACAATGAAGAAACGCAAAAATATATTTTGCTTGGCTTTAATTACAAAAACAAAAACTCCTCTTACATTAAATCTATAAGTATGACCCATTCACCAGGGTAGTGAGAGAGGTACATGCTCCTCTTTATATACTATACCCAATTGCTGACACAGCTTAATTAACACAACTTAACAGCACCTGCTATACTGCTTCACAGCTATAAAACTAGGTCATGATATTTACTCTGGCCTTTAAAGAGATACACATCTTGTGAAACAATAATGAACCTTAATATTTAAATAAACCATTCAACACTTCCAACTCCGATTAGCACCAAACCAACAAGGCCAGCGGTCAGGGATGATGAGAGCTGTAGTCCAGTGACATTTGGAGGGCCACAGGTCCCCCCTCTCCCATCACCATCCAGGACCTCCCAAGGTGAGAGCTTCAGTTTTAGCTCTCTTGGCCAATAGGCTTGAACCAGAGGTTGGGGAAGCTGCGGGCCTCCAGATGTTGCTGGACTACAACGCCCATCATCCCATCATAGGTCGTGTGGGCTGGGGGTGATGGGAGCTGGAGTTCAAGGATTCCAGCAGGGCACCCTTTTGCCCATGGGCTTCTTGCAATACTTTGGAAAGGCCCCCTAAGACGATGACTGTTGCCGCAGTTTTCTCACCACATCTTATGGTACTTATTTGGTGGGAATGCATTTAGCAAGTTAACCATGGGTTGAGGAGTTGTCTGAAGCTGGGTTTTAGCAAGCCAGGCTATTGTTCCGCCCAGTCCAGGGCTCTCTGGCTGGCAGCAAAGCTTCATGAGCTGAGAGTCCTTTGAAGGGGAAATGCCAGGGAGAATGAATCCTTATGTTCAACCTTTAAATGAGGTCTAGTGGCTTTAGATGGGACCTGGGAAACCATGGTTTGCATCCCCACACAACCATGGAGCCTGGCAGAAGACCTTGGGCCAGCCATCTTCTCTCAGCCTCACAGGGCTGCTGGGAAGATGAATGAGGGGGGGGGAGAACATCTGCATCACCTGGAACTCCTCGGAGGAGAAATAGGAGGCCTTCAGTCCTTTCCCTTCTTAATTTGTGTCTGTCTGTGTGTGCTGCTGCTTCTCTTCAGGGCCGTTAGAGAACACATATGGTGACTTCTGGCGCATGGTGTGGGAGCAAAATGTGCTGGTGATAGTCATGACTACGAGGTGAGTGTTCAGGCAGAGCCACACCTTCTTTCTGCACCTGCACTCTGCCTTGGAACTGGGAGAGGCACAGGTTCCCCACTAACTGACCACCTGCCATTTGTGGGCTCAGAGGTTCAGGTGCCCACTTACTTATTCATTTCATGAAGTTTATACATGGCTTGATTGTTAAAAAGAAAAGAAAGAAAATCCTCAGAGCGGTTTACAAAGAGAAAAAACAATAAAGTCATCAGTAAAAAAGGATGCTTTAAAACATTCAGGAATCAAAATCTACAATAAACTAAGTAATGGGTGGGAGAGCTGAAAAAAATTCATATCTGGCAACCAATGTGCCCCTTTGGCTTCAGATAGGACATGGGTAGGTAAAGGTAAAGGGGACCCCTGACCATTAGGTCCAGTCGTGGCCGACTCCGGGGTTGCGGTGCTCATCTCGCTTTACTGGCCAAGGGAGCCAGCGTACAGCTTCTGGGTCATGTGGCCAGCATGACTAAGCCGCTTCTGGCGAACCAGAGCAGCGCACAGAAACGCTGGAGCAGTACCTATTTATCTACTTGCACTTTGACGTGCTTTTGAACTGCTAGGTGGGCAGGAGCAGGGACCGAGCAACAGGAGCTCACCCCGTCGTGGGGATTCGAACCGCTGACCTTCTGATCGGCAAGTCCTAGGCTCTGTGGTTTAACCCACAGCGCCACCCGCGTCCCATAGGACATGGGTAGACAAGGCTAAAAAGCCCAGGACAGAAATGTTCATGGTGGCTCCTTGACCAGAAGCAATGTATTTAGCATTAACTCTAGAAGTGTACATGGGACGCGGGTGGCGCTGTGGGTAAAAGCCTCAGCGCCTAGGGCTTGCCGATCGAAAGGTCGGCAGTTCGAATCCCCGCGGCGGGGTGCGCTCCCGTTGTTCGGTCCCAGCGCCTGCCAACCTAGCAGTTCGAAAGCACCCCCAGGTGCAAGTAGATAAATAGGGACCGCTTACCAGCGGGAAGGTAAACGGCGTTTCCGTGTGCGGCTCTGGCTCGCCAGAGCAGCGATGTCACGCTGGCCACGTGACCCGGAAGTGTCTCCGGACAGCGCTGGCCCCCAGCCTCTTAAGTGAGATGGGCGCACAACCCTAGAGTCTGTCAAGACTGGCCCGTACGGGCAGGGGTACCTTTACCTTTACCTTTACTAGAAGTGTACACTCGATTATGACCAAACTAAGCCTCCTAGAGCAAAATATACACCAGGATTACTCAAAAGCACACACACAAATTTCATAGAACCATCAAATCCTTGAACTGTAAAGTTGGAAGGGACCCTCTGCAAACTGCTTGAACTTGGCCTGGTAGATATGCAGATGTCATTCACAGGAAACATGGAGTCTTTCTTCAGTGTGGGCTTCTGATTAAATCGGTTAGCCCTTCAGCTTCCCTTTCTTGTGTTCAAGGCTGGAAGAAGGAGGCAGACGGAAGTGTGGCCAATACTGGCCATTGGAGAAAGACTTCCAGACTTGCTATGGAAACCTGACGGTCACCAATCTGGGAATAGAGAACCTCAACCATTACAAGAAAACCATTCTGGAGATCTACAACTTTGAGGTAACCACAAATTTCTCTAAGTATTTCTCAAACGTGAGTCTTCAGCTATTGTTACACTACAACTCCCATGATCCCTAGCTAGCAGCACCAGTGGTCAGGGTCATCCCTGGTAGTACAACAACAGCTGGAGACCCAAGTTTGAGAAACACTGCCTAAGGCAGTATTGTGTTCTGGTCCTGAGGAAGAGCCCCACAAGACAAGGCAGGTTGGTTGTGCCAGCACCAAGGCAGGCTGCTAGGGAGCAACTTGCTCCTGGTGAGAAGGGCCATAGCTGAGTGGCAGAGCTCCCAGGTTCAATCACTCCAGGCAGGGTTGGGAGAGACTCCTCCCTGCCTGGAATCCTGGACGGACTATCCTGAGAATGTTTGTGTTCCTAATACAGACACAGGGAACTCTATAAATGGACAATGTGTGTAATGTCTGATTCATGTTGGACATTGTGAACATTAGATGCATTAGATGTGTTGATCAGCGAATCTGCAGTGTATCCAGCTGGAGAATATTCCTACTGATAAAGCAGAGTAAAACGCCTTGTGGACAGTCAAGTGTTGGGCCTACTCGCAAGTGTCACTGGGAGGCCGAGGGCACAGCATACGCACTTTATGCAAGGCCTCTCAGAATTCTGGGCCAAATTAGCCTGAATTCAGCAGCAAGGAAGGCCAGGTTCTGCATTCTGAATAAATACTGAAAAGCTGGGTGCTTTCAGTTATTTTGCACCTTTGATTCTGCCTTTTCTGTGGTGACCAGAAGCTATGCAGAACTGAGTCTCCAGTGTCTGGAAATCTTGATAGTTACATTTTGTGTTTCTTTGGGCTGTAGGCAATGTAAAGGTAAGGTAAAGGACCCCTGGACAGTTAAGTCCAGTCGAATTTGACTATGGGGTGCGGCACTCATCCCCTCTTTAGTGTTGAGTTAAATTCATGTGGCAATAGTGCATACTTGCCAGTGGAACGTTGTTTCACAAGACAATGTGTAAGTGGCTTGCTGGCAACTTTGTGGCACAACAGATTGTGCAATCTGTTGCACAAAATAGTTTTCCCCAGTGCAGCTCTTACATTTGATTAATCTGTTGTGCAACATTGCAACTCCTTAGTCAGCCAGCACAAGAGCCTTTGCCTGAGTGCACAGAGAACATTTAATAGAGCCCTGATTGCTCAGCAGCCATTGTCTCCATAGAGAGTCAGTGTGACTTAGCAGTTAGAGTGCTGCTCTAAGACCTGAAAGACGCGGGTTCAAATCCCCGCTCTGCAATTAATCTCACTGGGTGACCTTGGGCCAGTCACTGCCTTTCTGCCTAACCTGCCTCACAGGGTTGTTGTGGGGGTTAAATGAGGAGAGGGAGAACCATGTAGGCCACCTTGAACTCCTTGGAGGAAAAGGTGGGATAGGAATGCATTAAAATAAATAACAAACAAACAAACAAACAAACACGTTCAAATATATTTACTTGGGGTTCCCATTATGGGTATACAGTTGGGGCCTGTTGCTTATGTCAACCTGTGAAGTAATTGTGACCCTTCCAGGAAGCAATCACTGCTGATCTAAGGAAAAGAGGGGTGAGAAATGGGGGGGGGCATGTCCAGGTAAAGGGGGTGACATAAGAGAAGGGACAGGCAAGAGCGGGGTCCATTCCTTTCTCCCCTTTCCGCCATTCTTCCCTCCGCAGAGCCGCGAGAGGCGACTGGTGACCCACTTCCAGTATGTGAGCTGGCCTGACTATGGTGTCCCGACCTCAGCAGCAACTCTCATCGACTTCCTGGGGGCTGTCAAACATCAGCAGAGGGTGGCTGCCAGTGCCTTGGGGCCACGCTACAAAGGCCATCCTGGTGGGCCACCTATTGTGGTGCATTGCAGTGCTGGCATTGGCAGGACAGGTAAGGATGCCAAGACAAAGAAGCTTTCAGTGGACGCGGGTGGCGCTGTGGTTTAAACCACTGAGCCTCTTGGGCTTGCCGATCAGAAGGTCGATGATTCGAATCCCTGCGACAGGGTGAGCTCCCGTTGCCCAGTCCCAGTTCCTGCCCATCTAGCTGTTCGAAAGCACATCAAAGTGCAAGTAGATAAATAGGTACTACTCCGGCGGGAAGGTAAACGGCGTTTCCATGAGCTGCTCTGGTTTGCCAGAAGTGGCTTAGTCATGCTGGCCACATAACCTGGAAAAACTGTCTGCGGACAAACGCAGCTCCCTTGGCCTATAAAGCGAGATGAGCACCACAACCCCAGAGTCGTCTGCGACTGGACTTGACTTGTCAGGGGTCCTTTAGCTTTATCTTTTTTGAATGGAAAGGCGGAGAAAGACATCTGCCTGCAGCCTTAGTGACTGGTTGGCGTTGACCAGTGATGGGGCCTTTTCAGTGGTGGCTCCTCATTTGTGGAATGAGGCTTTCCCAGGCATGGTGTGTCCCAGCTTTTTCCTTATTAACATTCAGCCAGGATTTCAAAGCATTCCTGTTCACCCAGGCATTTGATGGCAGCGGGTACTGTTCTTCCAGCAACCTGGAAATTAATCTTAAGGCTGTGTGGCTGTTTTTAGATGTTCTTAATTGTTTTTAAACAATTGTTTTTAAACAATTAAGGCCATAACACTTGCATAAAACTGTTCCAAATGGAACATAACACCATAACACTGGCCAGTTGCTAATCTCCCTTTGCTGGGCAAGGTTCTGGAGTGAGTGGTCGCAGACCAGATCCAGGCACTTTGGGAAGAAATTGATTTTCTGGATCCATTTCAATTGGGGTTTGGCCTGGTTTTGTCACAGAAACTGCTTTGGTCGCCCCGTATGATGACCTCTATCGATAGACAGACAAGGGAAACATGTCCCTGTTAATTCTTCTCGACCTCTCAGCGGCTTTTGATACCATCGACCATGGCATCCTTCTGGAAAGACTCTCCGAACTAGGGATGGGTGGCACCGCTTTGCGGTGGTTCCAGTCCTACTTGGATGGTCGTTCCCAGAGGGTGTTACTTGGGGAGTGCTTTTCAGCCCCGTTGAACCTTCATGGTGGGGTTCCTCAGGGCTCAATCCTATCCCCCACGTTGTTTAACACATCTACATGAAACCGCTGGGTGGGATTATCTGCAGGATCAGAGTACGTTGTCAGCAGTACGCTGATGACACTCAGCTCTATTTCTCCTTGACATCTGCAGGTGAGGCAGTGGAAGTGCTGGACCAGTCTTGGTAGTGGACTGGATGAGAGCCAAGAAACAGAAGCCCAATCCAGATAAGACTGAGGCTCTGTTGGTGGGGGGTTCCCTAGACCAGATAGGTGGGAGGTCGCCTGCTCTTGATGGGGTTATGTTTCCTCTGAAGGAGCAGGTTCATAGCCTGGGGATCCTCCTGGATCCTTTGCTGTCGCTCAAGGCTCAGGTGGCCTCAGTGGCCCAGAGTGCCTTCCATCAGCTTTGGCTGGTGGCCCATCTACGTCCCTATCTGGACAGGGAGAGCATAACTACTGTTCTCTACACTCTGGTAATCTGAAGGTTAGATTACTGCAATGCGTTCTACGTAGGGCTGCCTCTGAAGACAGTTCAGAAACTTCAGCTAGTGCAGAATTCAGCGGCCAGGTTGCTCACCGGAGCAAGACGGTTTGAGCATATTACACCGATCCTGGTCTGACTGCACTGGCTACTGATTAGTGTCCAGGCCCAATTCAAAGTGAAATTAAACATATTAATTCATCACTTAAATAGAATCCTAAGCCAATTAAACATCTGCAAGCTGTTTCCAGTTAATTTAACTTAACATATTTAACTAATTTAATCTTCCTGATACTCCTCCTCCTTCTGGTCGCGGACTCTTCCGGTTAGGTCAGCTAGCTCCGAAAAATCCATCATCTTCATCTGCCATTCTTCCACCGTTGGTAAATCTTGCATTTTCCACTTTTTGGCTAGTAAAATTCGAGCAGCAGTTGTAGCATACAAAAATAATTTAACATCTTTCTTGGGCAATTCCAAACCTGTTATTCCAAGAAGAAAGGCCTCTGGTTTCTTTATAAATGTATATTTCAACATTTTTTTCAATTCATTATAAATCTTTTCCCAGAAGGGACAGGTCCACCACATATGATAAAAGGTTTCTTCCTTTTCTTTACATTTCCAGCATAGATTATCACAGTTATGATATATCTTTGCTAATTTTACAGGAGTCAAATACTATCTGTACATCATTTTCATTATATTTTCCTTCAACACAGTACATGCAGTGAACTTGACCCCTTTCTTCCACAATCTTTCCCAATCCTCAAACATTGTATTATGTCCTACATCTCTTCTTTTTTATATATATTTATTTGTTAAGTACAAATGAGAAAACATACATATTTACAACAAAAGAAAATACAAAAGAAAAAGAAAATACATATAACCAAGGGGGAAAAATAGAGAATACTTTGTCTCTTTTCATATTTACAGTTATTTATACCTCTACAAAATGCTATTCACAATAAAGGAGTGAAATGAAAGATAAGATATCAGGAAAAAAGAAAAAAGAACAAAAAAAATAAAGAAAAAAAATCATAAGTGAAAATTTTTTAAAGTAGATAAGTATTCACTATACATAGCCATTTCCCATCTATATTTATATTCAATTGTATAATTTCATCTTGTCCTTATCTACCTTAACTAAAGTGTTTTTTAAAAAGACTCCCACCGTTTGCCTCACGCGTTTTTAATAATCCGTTCGTCAGATCCTCTGTTCCTCATATTTTCCCTTTGGATTTCCTTAATGTCTCACTTTGTATTTTTTATATTACCCACAAGATTATTCTAAACACAACCAGACTTTTGTAGTCGAGCCCTGGTTTTGTAAATAATCATTTAAGAACTCCCATTGCTTCATAACCATAATTTTGGATTTTCTCCTTATTATATCCGTCAGTTTTTCTAGTTCCAGGTACTCGCAAAGTTTCCCCAACCATTCTCTTTTTGTTGGGATGCTGTCTTCTTTCCAATAGCTAGCAATCAAAATTCTTGCCGCTGTTGTCGCGTATAGAAATAAGTTAGTTTTATCACACGCTAGCAAGGTTATGCTTAAAATTCTACAAGGAAGGCTCAAGCAGTATGTGGACTGAGAACTCCCAGAAGTGCAAGCTGGATTTAGAAGAGGCAGAGGAACCAGAGACCAAATATATATTGTCTCCCTGCTTATTTAACTTATATGCAGAATTCATCATGCGAAACGCTGGACTGGATGAATCCCTAGCCAGAATTAAGATTGCCGGAAGAAATATCAACAACCTCAGATATGCAGATGACACAACCTTGATGGCAGAAAGTGAGGAGGAATTAAAGAACCTTTTAATGAGTGTGAAAGAGGAGAGCGCAAAATATGGTCTGAAGCTCAACATCAAAAAAACAAAGATCATGGCCACTGGTCCCATCACCTCCTGGCAAATAGAAGGGGAAGAAATGGAGGCAGTTAGAGAGTGAGAGATTTTACTTTCTTGGGCTCCATGATCACTGCAGATGGTGTCAGCAGCCACGAAATTAAAAGACGCCTGCTTCTTGAGAGAAAAGCAATGACAAACCTAGAGAGCATCTAAAAAAGAAGAGACATCACCTTGCCAACAAAGGTCCGTATAGTTAAAGCTCTGGTTTTCCCAGTAGTGATGTATGGAAGTGAGAGCTGGACCATAAAGAAGGCCGATCGCCGAAGAATTGATGCTTTTGAATTATGGTCTGGAGAAGACTCTTGAGAGTCCCATGGACTGGAAAAAGATCAAACCTATCCATTCTTAAGGAAATCAGCCCTGAGTGCTCACTGGAAGGACAGATCGTGAAGCTGAGGCTCCAATACTTTGGCCTCCTCATGAGAAGAGAAGACTCCCTGGAAAAGACCCTGATGGTGGGAAAGATGGAGGGCACAAGGAGAAGGGGACGACAGAGGATGAGATGGTTGGACAGCGTTCTCGAAGCCACAAACATGAATCTGACCAAACTTCAGGAGACAGTGGAAGACAGAAGTGCCTGGCGTGCTCTGGCCCATGAGGTTACGAAGAGTCGGACACGACTAAATGACTAAACAACAACAATCTTTTGGGATATCTTCATCTAGAATTCCTAGTAGATATGCCTCTGCCTTTTTTGTGTGTGATGTCCTTATCATTTTTTTTATTTCGTCGTGGATCATGTCCCAAAAGGTTTTAATCTTTGGGCAAGTCCACCACATGTGGTATAACGTACCTTTTGTTCTGTTACATTTCCAGCATTTGTCGTTGTTCCTTTTATTTATTTTTGACAATCTGTCAGGGGTTAGGTACCATCTGTGGTGAATTTTTCTGAAATTCTCCCTTAATAAGTCACACGCAGTAAAATTTATGTTTTTCTCCCAAAAAGTTTTCCATCTTTCCAGATCTATCTCATATCCCAAATCGTGCTCCCACTTTAACATGTTTTCCCCTTTCGTCTCTTGTTCTGAGGTGGTTTTCATTAATAATCTATACATTTTTGCAAGTATTTTTGGATCGCTTTGCAATATTTCCTTTTCTAATTTTGAGGTTTTATTTTCAAATCCCCCCCCCTTTTATGTCTTTTTCATATGTTGCTTTTAATTGATAATATTGTAACCAATTTATTCCAAATGTTTGTAATTGTTGGTAAGTTTTTAATTTAATATTTCCGTCTGCATCCTCTAATATTTCCCTATATGTTGGCCAAGTCTTTTTTGCATCACTCTTTAATGTTGTAGTTGCCTCCACTGGTGAAACCCATTGGGGAGTTTTCTCAATAATTTCCCCTTTTGTTCTTTCCCAGACATCCAATAGAGCCTTTCTTACTATGTGATTTGTAATTTTTTTATGTTGTTCTTTTTTGTCATAAAATAAATAGCCATGCCAGCCATATATTTTGTCCCAACCCTCTAGTGTTAGGACTTCA